ACCTGCCGAGCAGCGGCTGAATCAGGGACGCCTGGGGCAGATCTGGACTATCAGAAGGGGGGGCTATGAGGGGTCTGGGGTGGCATCCCCCCCACCCCATCCCAGACCCCTCATAGCCCCCCCTTCTGATAGTCTGGCAAATCTGATAATCCGGCACCCCCTGGGTCCTAAAGGTGCCGGATTATTGGAAGTTTACCGTATAAGACATTTTTGGTTGCTTTTCTTCCAGGTCGTGAAGTTTATATATAGCAATACAGGTTCACCTTCTCTGGTCTGGCACCCTTGGGACCTGAGCAGTCCTGAAACAGGGAATTTGCTGGATCAGGGGAGGTCAGTGCTACCCTTCTGGCTGCTGCCCTCCTCCCAGGCTCCTCTCCTGGCTCTAGGGCTCCCTGCCTTGCAGCTGGCCCACCTAATGCTGGCTAAGTGGGGGTCTCTGCCCCACTGCTGCTGGGGGCGGTTCCCTGGTGGGTTCCTGCTGCTTGGTCAAGGCTGGAGCCTCCACTGCCACTGGAGGTTTATGGCCAGGGCTGAATGGCACCTGTTTCTGCTGAGGATTCCCTGGCCAGGCCAGGACTCACCAGCCACCACCAGCCCAGTTGCTGCTGGCTCAGCCATGGCTCTACAGTAGGACTTCTGAATTGCTTCTGCACCTGGTGTTGGGGGCTCTTTGGTCTAACAACATTCGTGACCCTGCTGGACCGTGGATATTGCTGGATGAGAGAGTCCTGGATTTGGGAGATTCCATTTGTACAAGATTAAGAGCAGGGATGTAAAGGGTTAATGGTTACCTGGAAAGCATTCACCTTACTGGCATGCTTACTGGGACAACCAGTTAACTAGTGCCTGGCCCAGTTAGTGCAGCCACCTGCCTATGTTGTGATGCAGCAGGCTGGTTAACTGGATAAACGTATACATTAACCAGTTAACATTTTAAATGGGATTTTACATCCCTAGTGAGGAGCCCTTTTTCATAATTAGCTCTGTTTCTCTAAAAATGAACACAAAATAATGGTTCAATAACATTTAACATTTAAACAATGGTTTAAAAACATTTAATAAAATGTTTATGCTAGGAAATACCACTTAAGTGGATTGAAAAATTCCAAATATTTAAATTTGCAAGGAGATGATTTGAGGACTAATAGAATTTTTCATTTCTTATTACAGGGCCAGCTTTCAATATTACAAGAGAAAATAGACCACTTAGAACGTTTGTTGGCAGAAAATAATGAGATTATTTCGAACATAAGGGACTCGGTGATCAATCTGAGTGAATCTGTGAAGGATGGTCAAAAAAACCCTGAGGCCATAAATTTCAGTCAAGGATCTTTCTCCGACCTTCTGCCGTCTGCTTTAGTATCCCTCACAGTTGATCCTGAGGATTGCTCATTTGCTTCAAAAAGTGGAAGTCAAGATTCAGATGTACAGGTAAGAAGCATGTAAATAAATATTAACACTCTTAGTATCTCCTCCTTTCATCCCCCTCAGTCTATTGTGTGTTACCGGCTTTCATTATCCTGAAGATTTTTCTCAGTGGTATTAGTCATAGCCATTATCTTATCTTTCTAGTCCATGACAGGCTCTTTTGATAGTCTATGTGGATCCTCTTGATGGAACATAACCCTTTAGTGCTCTCTGTTCAGTTTATCCTGAGAAGGAATCTACCCTGATTCACCACATGGCACTGTGGAACAGTACTACGAGGTCACAAATTCTATTGCCCAGGTGTTTAAATTATGGTATCTTATTATCAAACATTAATACAGATCTAGAGGTGTGCTCAGGACCGTTGGTAAAGCCTGACTTAAGCTCAGCCGGCTTGACCACTGTGTGTCAAGTTAATTTGAGATATGACTGAAACCTGACAATTCTGCTTTAATCAGTGCTGCTGCCACCACCACCTTGTCCTTCAACTTGGTCTGATCAGGCTTCCCACATCCCATATGCACTATCCATTTCTGGATGACTTTTTCAGATGGGTTTTGGTGTGATGGCAGCTGTGTGCCTTGTTCCTGACGGTCATTGCTGCGCTGTGCACTATGGAATGTGGCCCACTGTGACTGGTGCATTGCCAGGAGTGAGGCACACAGCTGCTGTTGCACTACATGTGAAGGCAGTAGGAGATGATCAGAGGTGACCTAGGCTAAGGAGGTCCAGGTTATCTTCAGACATGACCTGACTCAAACCTGACACACATGGTCACATCCTGTCAGGCTAGACAGGTTGCAAGACTCGAACAGGTTATATTTTAAAAAGATAGCAGTCACTCTATGGTTAAAGGTATGTGTTGATTTGGTGGAGCTTTTGACTATACCATCCAGCCTACTCTTAAACTTTTCTGAAATGGAACCACGAATGGAAATATTAAAAGTTTTTCAGTATGCTGCTTTCAGAGATAAGTGGTAGGGAGTGAGATTTTTTTCAGGGTTGGGGGACGATGCATGTGTAAGAACAAGATTTTCTCGCTTCCAAATTTTTGATTGGTTTCCTTTTTTTTGAGAGAGCTGTTTCTGTTTTTAGAAATATTCAGGTCTAGATCGACCTAGAAATTTGGGCTTGAGATTTCAAGTGACAAATACCCTCTTGTTCAATTTACTTCATTGTGGGGTGTAGGTGTTGAACATCTTTTCAAGTCAGTGCCTACACATTAAGTTTATTTTACAGTTATCAGGGAGGAATGGGGTCTTCAACTGATTTTCTTGAAAAATTGTGTGGCTACTTTTACAGAGCAGGGGAACCTTACAGTCCTATTCTGTATTGTTTAGTTCTGAACTTGGTTTTTCAGGAGATCTGGCGTAGATACAGATCTTGTATGCAAAGATGAAATCAGGAACTCTTTGAACAGCAACAGTGTTCAGGAAACACTTGACTTTGGATGACTAAACGTAGGCATAATAACATCTGTAAGAGCTGTAGCACCTATTGCAATACTTGTAAGCCCTTCAGGGATACTGGTAGTAGTTCATACTATATTAATGCTTCAAATAAAGAGAGCAATATACTCATTTTTAAAAATCAGTAATCTACACAAGTCCCAGTCATATTTCAATAATAGATGATGAGGCTATTGTCAGATAAAAAACTTAATTAAGATGTTGATAAAATTATAAATACACATCTGTACTGGTAGTAAAGGGTAGGTAGGAAATTTAAGTGCACTGCAGTTTTAGAAAAGTTGTCAAAGCTAGAAAGTTAATAGAATTTCAAAACCAGAAAGAATCATTATGATCACACTTCAGCTCAATTGCACTTACTGAACCACAGAATGGAACTGCAAGGGCAGTCACTTTTCTTCTGTCTCCCCCACCTCTCTGAGGTGGAGATAGATATCTCTGCCTCCTAATCCTCCAGGCTGCAAAGTTCCCTTCTTATGTTGTCTGCATCATTCACCAGCAGGCCAGACTGCTTGCTCCTGCACTTGGCTTTCTCCTCAGTGGCTATGTATGATCTGTTATGGTTGCCCACAGTTATAAGTACCACATGGCTCTTCATAAGCAATAATGTTGTTAAGGTGAAAGCATTACAGGGAAAGCATATCAAAAAAACTTACAAGCATGGAAATAAGCTTCCCAGAAATCACCCTGTTCAAACAAGTAGCTAAGTCTTTTGATATGTGACTGGCAGAGCTACCACAGACACTGCATAACTAATGGATATAATCCAACCGCTAAGGTTACCACCATTATGGACCCTTCAAAAATTGTCTACCAAACAGCCACAGCTGCACCTTCTTATAAGAGATTTGACAAAAAGAACTATGTACTGGTGAAGGGGCTGAATTTTTGTTCTCACCCTACCCCAGACTCATTGGTGGGTAGAAATGGTTAGCCAAAGGGGGGAAGCAACTTAGACTGAGAACCACTCCTTATGATAAAGACTGGAAAAGGTTAGACCTTTCCAGAAGAAAAACCTACTCATTGGCTACTTTCCACTTCTGCATAGCCCACTCACAACTCAGCTTGACTATCCAAATATATGCACAACATGTTTTCTCAGATGTTGACCTTTATTGACTATTTTCCAGAAGATAAAGAGGAGCAATACCAGGCCAATATTGTAGAAGGTTCCCTCATTGCCAGAATGGCCCTACAGGTTTCTCTCGATTCTGTTGACAAGGCAGCATGTTGCATCATTGCTACTTCTTTGAGTGGTTCCCGTGAGTGCTCCACTCTTGGTGGTCCCCATGGGTGCTCCACTCTTGGTGTCGAGCTCGTCCCAGTGCCTCTGGTCGGAGATTTTCAGTAGCAGTTGTCCGCTGGACTCCACATGAGCGGTCAGCGTCTCGCGGCTTTCACGCCTTTGATCGCGTGGTCCGGCTCCCGTCAGTTCCTTTCAGCCATCCTTGGTTGCTGGTGGAGCTTCTCTGTTGTCCTCAGTGAAGCTCAGCTTCTGTAGAGAAAAAGAGTTATTTACAGTTAGAGTTTCATGTAGGATAGTAGTTAGTAGTAGTTAGTTAATTGTTGGTGTTACTGTTTAGTTCTTCGGTTAAAAGCAAGAAACTGAAATTGACATGCCTGGCTCCTCAGGCTTCAAACGGTGTTCCCGTTGCTGGGAGGCTATGCTGGCATCGGATGGGCATGTGGCATGTATCCGCTGCCTGAGTGAAACTCACATCCCTCACAAATGTGCGCACTACCTAAAATTGACATCCAGAGCGTGGAAGGAAAGGGAAATGCACAGCCTTAAAGCGGCATTCCGCTGCCGGCTCTGTTTAGTATGGGGGCACAAAAGAGGAGGGCTTCGTCCCCCGGGCCATATCCAGGTAAGAGAGTGAGGGCATCTTCCACCCACTTTCTACCAGCTGCACCAAGAGTTAGCGGAGGGGGCGAGCCGGGCATGCCAGGATCTGCGCCCACTGCCCTTAAAATGACTGCTGGGGCCACAATGAGGAAATCAGCTGTCCCGGTGCCGAGAGCAGGTGCCGTGCTGGCACAGAAGGCAGCCTTGGAACCAGTCCCAAAAACTGCACGAAAGGTCGGCTCGGATCCGCCAGGACAGCTGTGAGCAGCGGAGGCGCAGCAGGCGCCGGCACAGGCATTGACAGCCGTGCGTGGAGCTGGCTCTGCACCGCCAGCACAGCTGGCGGCACTGGAGGAGCAGCAAACACCTGCGCCAGCACCGAGAGCAGTGCGCAGAGTCAGCTCAACACCGGTAGCGCAACAGACACTGACACTGGCACCAAGAGTTGTGCAGACTAATGGCTCGGCACTGACACTAGAGCTGTCAGCACTGGACACGCTGCAACCATTGCCAGAGGCATCGGCACCGGAGGGGTCAGCTATCATGAAGGCAGCAGGGAACCAGGGCACTCTCCAGCACTGATAGTGCATGGCAATGGAGACCACGCCCAGCTGATCAATACAGCGGCTGCAGCACCAAGAAAAGCTGCTTTCAAAATGTCCATGTGTCTTTCAGCTCTCTCCCCATGGCCAGTTTTCTCCCCTGCACCGTCTCCTTTGTTTCCTAGGCACTATTCTCCCATGCAGAGGGCCATGCACTACCGCAGCACTTGGGGGTCTTATTCACCATGGCGCAGTCCTAGACCCCGGAGACATCACACATCGCCTCGTCGCAGGTACTCTCCATCACTGGCAAGGTGCTCGTCTCGCTTGCCCCATTCAACATGGCGTTCTCCCTGCACAATTTATTATAGGCATCATGGCAGGATTACCTCTTCCAGATGGTCCTCCCCAACCTATTCTGACCATTACTATGATCGATGCCATGGGGTGCACCCATGTGACAGCACTTTTTATAAGCAATGACAGTCCAAGAATTTAACTACTAAACCACATATCAACAGAAGGTCATTACACTGACTACTTTTTTGTTTCTGCTCCCACTCCCTGGCCACGTGTTGATCCCCACATAAACCCAAACTGCACCGCAGGGCGCAAACAAACTGGCTGTGGGTAGCATACCAAGTTATTAATAAATATTTTATAAACCTTTACCTTTTCTCTCTGCTGCCATGTCTCCTCTCCTTGCTCCATCATCTCTCCTGGTGCCTGCTGCCCCCCAACTCCTCACCCTCCTCTGCTGTTCTGACTCCTGCCCTTCTCACTGCCCTCAGCCCTCTTGTGATCTGCTCCCCTCCACCAGCCCTTCTCTCCCCCCTATGCCCACTCCTCCAGTAGCTCCACTCTCGTCATGTAGGCTACCCCTCTTCTAACACCTCCCTCAACACGCCTGTCCTGCTTCTCTACTCTGGTGCTGGTCCCTCCCCTGCAGGTGTCTGCCCTTCTGCTTCACCCCAGAATCCCCTGGCACCTGCACCTTCCCTTAGCTCTGCATCCTCCTGGTGCCTCTCCCTTCCCTTGCTGCCCCTATCCCCTTTGCCCTCTTTTTCCCTGATACGCATCCCCTCACCACTCTCTGCCCCATTCCCCTCCTGCCCCTCTGTGCCCTCACACTTTTCTCATGCCCAC